TGATGAGCGCATGATCGAGATTAAGGACGCGCTCTTTGTGCCGAGCATGAGCAAGAATCTACTTTCGGTGCCGCAGATCAACAAGACTGGGAAGTTTCAAGTCGTCTTCGACGGTCGCAAGATGAACGTGACACGCAAGAACTCGACACAAGTCGTGGCTACGGCGGATCTCGTCGATGGACTCTACTGGCTTCGTACGCCTCAACCGTCGGCCAACACGGTGATGAACAACCAGGTTGTCGACCTGCACGCTCGCATGGGTCATGCACCTTTCGACGTTCTTCGCAAGATGGTCAACGATGGTCTGATCAAGGACGCCAAAGCTCCTGCCAAGTCGAACGGATCAAGCTTGTGTCGCGGGTGTCAACAAGGGAAGATGGTTCAAAAACCATTCCCAAGCAACCGCGACAAGCGTCGTTATGCCACGTTTGAGCTACTTCACTTCGATATCTGCGGCCCAATGGAAGAAGTCTCGATCGGCGGCAGCAGATATTTGCTGCTGATTGTTGACGAAGCCAGCGGGTGCATGAAGGGATTCTGCTTACGTGCCAAGTCGGAGAGCGAAGACTGCGTCAAGAGTTACATTCTCAAGATCGTGAAGAACTTTAGACTTCCTTTTCCGGGTGCAAAACACAAAGTGAATATATTTTTATTGTGGGTTTTTTTTTCGCATTTTTAAACACACCCATTATTGAGGGTTACCGATACAATCCGAACTTAAGCGTAGTTCTTACGGGATAGTTTTTACGTCGGTAATTACGCAGGAATGATTAGACGAGTAGGGTGATTAGACGCGGCCGACTGATTTATATGTCACATATAAGGATCAGGGCGTAGGCAGATAAGCTCCGATAATCAATCACTTTCCAATTTCCATTCTTCAGAGCAAGTGTCTTCTCTTCGGCTCGTCCAAGCGCAGACTCTCTCGTCCGCCCCAACTTCCGACGCCAACAGGTTATGAGCCCAAGCGCCATGACTCCCTCGCACGATGCCAAGGTCACCATTGACAAGTTCAACGGTGACAACTACGCGACATGGAGCCGCTACATGCGTGGCGTGTTCCTGACGAAGTCGACGTGGCATGTCGTGAACCGGGAGACGTCGCCGACGTTTGCAGACCCACGCGCCATGGACGACTACGCCAAGGCAAGCAACGTGGCGTTTGGTCTTATGCTTCTGCATATGGACGCGTACTACCACCACGTGGTTGATGACTGCGAAGAAGCCTGGGCCGCATGGGTGCGCATCAAGACGCTCTACGGAGGATCGCAGAAGGCCGGTCGCATCTTCTTGAAGCGCCAGCTCTTCAGCATGGAGATGGCGGAAGGCGGCAATGTGTTGCACCATTGCAACGAGGTCCTCAACATCAGCGCGAAGCTCAGCAGCATCGGCGCCAAGATGGAGGACGAGGACGTGGCGATCTGCTTGCTGCGCAGTCTCCCCAAGAGCTACGAGAACGTCGTTCTCAACTTGGAGATGAACAGTGCTGAACTTCGATCGCGCGACGTTGTCAAGGTGCTCACAAACGAGCATATCAAGCGTCAAGGTACCAAGACTGCGGCGGTGAAGACCGAGGACGCAGCCAAGGCATTCAATGCTGAGCGCGAACCGCATCAATGCTCGTATTGTGGCAAATTGGGGCACACGGTGGAACGGTGCTGGACCAAACAGAAAGCGGAAAACAAGGGCCCGAGACGCGGTACGGGCTGGGGACGGGGCCAAATACCAGTAATACGCAGTCTGAACGGTGCTGGGCTGATTTTACGTATTGCTGTCCATTGGTTCTGGACCTCCGATCTCTTGTCGTCTCGGTGGACGGTAAGAGTTTGAGCTAGCATGAGCCTGTCTCATGCTAAAGTCTTCCTGTTCCGCGGCTGATATCGCTTCTTCAAGCGTATTCAGCTCAAGGCGGAACAGGTGGCTCCTGACGGGCCCTTCTGCGAGCCCTTGCATGAACACCGTAATCAACGTGTGTTCATGAACTGGGTTGGCAGTTATACTACTCGCAAGGAGTCGTATATGTTGTGCGTAAGCGTGCACATCACGCTTACCCTGCTTGAGTTTCAGGAGCTCTGAACGAGCCCTGAACTCAGCACGTGGCGGCTCAAACGTTTGTCTGAGCCGGGACTTGAATTCATCTAGCGACCTAAACACGTTTGGGTCGCTACTCTCGAGTCCCAGGGACCAAGTTTTGGCACGCCCTGCCAAGTGGGTCTGAGCAAATGTGAGTTTCATTTGCTCATCTTCGACGCGACGAGCCCTTAGGGCTCTGTCGAGTTCGACAAACCATAGTAACAGGGAGTCCTCCGGGACTCCACTGTACTTGGAGATGTCAACCTTCATGACTTCGGGACGACGCGCATGCGCCGTCCCGCCCACAGCAGCATGGAATTGCTGCTGTCTCAACAGCTCCGTCTGTTGAGCACCGAGTTCTCTCAACTGCTCGGCCTGTTGAGAGCCTTGCTGGTGAAGCAAGGCTACTTTCTCCCTCTCGAGAGCAAGTTCATTGTGAATGAACTTGGCGATAGCAGCATGTTGTTGGTCTCTGTCTAGAGACTCCAACATGGTGCTGACGACGAGTTCGCCTACGGTAGAACTCATTCGTTCTACCGCACTCCATTCGATGTCACTCAAATGGGTAAACCCTTCACGCGTGGCGTGAAAGGTGTCTTCTTCATCCAACATGTTCATGTTGGATGATGTGGTCCTTGGAAGGACTACAAAGTGCTACCAGGTGTAACGGGGCACACCCTTGCGTAACTTAACGCAAGGGATTTGGGTGCCCCGACGGACGTACACGTGGCGAGCGAGGAAGCGTAGATAGGGTAAAAGTAGAACTGTTATATTAATAAATTAAGTCTTTAAACTACTGTCTCTTCGTTTGACTTAATTCAATTATACTAATATAACTGCATGTATGGTGACGTCTCGTCACCACTCATTGCGCGCGTCTTGCGGCGATTGGTGGGTTGATATCATCACGAGATCAACCAATGAACAGACCCTTCTGGTCGACCCTTCAATATCACCGCTTCGGTGATATTGTTTAAAGAATATCCATCTTTATATTCTTTATTGTCACTTTCCTTAAGTGACAATATTATGTAACGGGCTGCCCCGTTACATCATGCGCATTTCAACGGTATTTCTGTATGCTCTGTTTGGTCCAAACGATTAAACGAGTATAACAAAAGGCTGTCGCACAACGCACCAGTTCATTTTCAGCAACGACCTCGACAAGATACGCTCCTTCCAGTATGGCAACTGTCCTCGCGATTCAAACGCGATGTACCGTCGGCGTCGCTATTCTGTCGATCGAAGGCATGCACCAATTGATCTAGATTGTATGTGCAGCAGCCCTCTGCACACTCGTACAGCGGTGGCTAGTGAGGAGTTGAGGGTTTTACAGGTACGCGAGCGACCCGCTATGTCCTTGTCCTACAGCGGTGGAAAACATGGCGACGACACGATAAACTTATGCAACGCAACGCAAGCCTCGTATCTGATCATAGCCCCTAGCGATTTACTATTAATTTGCCACTGAGGCAAGCGGTCAAGTCGTCGTACAAGCGAATTCGTCCTGACCTCGTGTAGTTGTTCATGCCAAGAGTTCGGCGCACGTCGATACTTTTCTAGCCTTAGGAAAGGAGCTTGGCCCGGGATGAAAACGCCCTTTGTCGTACATAACAATACAACGCAACACAAGCTACGCCACGTCAGCGTAACTCGACATCATGGCAGGCATCTGCAGCTCGACAGCTCATGGGCCGTGCCTGCTGGATGAAGTACGTTCGATTGATTGGAAGATGTGTCCAAAGTAACGCTGGCAGAATGAAGAATTCCAAATACGCTGTTGTAACAGGGGTACTGCCTACAATTGACATTAAGTACCGTCGAGGTCGGAGACGATGAATACAAACCGATGCGCGAAATGTCACAACAAGTGATGCTTTTGCCGTCGCCCATCCTCCTTGACATGTAGATCCAGACGTCAAGCAGACCTCTCTTCCTCCACCTCGCATCTTCCTCTGCAGCTGCACCGACCGCTCGGTGATTGAAACAGCCCAATGTGGTGCGGAGATCAGATAGCCCGTGTTGAGGTTCGACATTCAAGTTGCATTACTCACTGCTCACCGCACAACGGTGGTGACAGTGCTGACTACATGAAGTCCCAGGGCCAGAAATGCTGACTCGTTTTTTCGCAACGCTACCTTCTCATGCATAACTGACGGCTTCATAGCCTGTACAATTGTCTTGTGTCCCATCGAGATGTCGACAACGAGGGCCGATATTGCTACGTACCGAGGCACCTGAATGAATATCTAGAGTAACTAGTGCGGGCGTGATGTGCCTGCCATCAGCAGTCCATAGGCAGCCGCCAATGCTTCTCGATCGCGACAATACCAAGCAGTACGTGCGTAGTAAAGGCGGGCGGCCAAAGTCGTACAAAACCCAGCGTCGTCAAGGGACAGCCCTTTCTCGTCTTCCTTGACCATGTTACTGCAAATCCCAGTGATGCACGTACCTGGTAAACGGGACGTGCGGGCGCAGACGCGATGTGTGCACCGTATGGAAACGTGGACCCCAGAACTGGTCGAAAAAACACGCTCGTGGTAATTGGCGACATGACCAAAACAGCGGCTCGTGGGCCATTACGACAGCCGAAGTACACCGCTTCTGTCACTCGCGTCTATCCTGTCGCAGCTTTTCTTCTCGTCCGACCAGTGTGTCGCGTCGTTTTTGCACGGTCGTTGTCCACTTGTCGCCTTTGCTGCAGCACTGCATTGGCAGTCGCCTGTAGATTCGGTATGCGCAGAAGATCCGGTGTCGTCTCGCTACCACATCATCGCGCGATTTCCGACGAGGTCTAGTGAGACCGAAGTGACTGTCCGTACGGCATCGACCATAGCTGAGCTCGCCGCCGTCTGGTGGTCGTTCGCACTCTTGAGCTTCTCGCGCTCGTCACGTGGACGAAGAAGTACCGTCGGACAGCGGGTGCGATGCTGAGTCCCAATGTTTGCCTTGCTACGGTAACCGCTGGTGAGTAGCTGCTCGAGGCTGTGAGCTGTGTGCAATGCAGTGGGTTTGTGCTTGTTTTTACTGACGTCTTTTGGTGTGTGTGTGTGTGCTGCTGCTTAGTGGCGGTCTGCGTGGCGCACGTGACGACAGCCCAATCGTCGGCAGGTGTGAGGGCCATTTGCTACAGTGTAGGCGAGTGCCACGTGAACGGGTCGGCGGCCAAGATGTGTGACCGCACAAAGAAGGAGTGCCACCAGTGTCTCGGTGAAAGAGAGAGCGACTCGCTCTTGGTCATGTTACAGGAGGCAACCGAGTACAACTGCTATGATGTCAAGACCAATGGAAAATGTCCAAAGGGCACGACCAAGTGTTCTGCAGGCACGTGTGGTCTATATGCCGCGGGATTGACTGGCGATCGAGTACTGAGGAAAGCTAAACGTGTGATGTTGTTGTTGACTGGTGTAGCACTGAAGATGGAAGACGAAGAAAAGGAAGTAAAGCGAGAGGAGCAGCGAGAGGAGCAGCGAGAGGAGCAGCAAGAGGAGCAGCAAGAGGAAAAAACGTCAGGGTCTGCGGAGGATGACAGTCCGTACCAGCACATTTTGTCCAATACGTCCAGCTTTGCCGAGCCGGGTTCGACTCTCTCCGGCAGCGACTCAGACGAGGTGACCCGCTCTCGTACGAAACCTGAGCGTGCGACATCGCTTTTTCTCACTGACTCGTCCAGCAATGGTTCTGCTACGAGTAGACAGAAGAAACTTACGTCAGAGAAGACGACAGGATCAATTTTCAAGGGATCGCCGTCGTCGAGCGGCAATGACTCAGCTGAAGAAACGCCCAAGGCCTCTGCTAGCAGCAGTTCTGGGTCTTCGCCCAAGGCTTCTTCAGCTACAAAGAAGGACTCTGTACTGCAGAACTCTTTTGGAGGATTTGATTCGGAGGAAGACCTCAGCAGTGTAGGCGCGACAGTGGCCCCGGTCGTTAAGGCACCGAAAGCTCAGTCCACCATACAGGACACGGCACTCAGTGAGAAAACCACTTTGTCAACGCCCACATTCGAGCGTAGTTCGGGTGACGACATCGACTATGGCTTGATTCTTGGTGTCGTCGGAGGTGCTACTGCGATAGCGGCCATCGTCGCTATTGTCGTTCGAAGAAAAGCAAAGGCTGGCGAGGACCCGGACGATGGAGCAGCAGCATTCTCTCCTAACATGCCGGTCACAACCCGTAAACCGACTGCACTGCCATCTGTATCGTCTGCAACTACGTCGTATTCAGCTGAGATGGACTGCTATGGAAGCAACGATCTCGAGTACCAGTATGACACTGATCATCACGTCAACCATTACGGTGACAACTTCGGTGACCGCCACTTCCCAGGTGCCACAGCAACGCATCACACTGGTGGTAAAAGCGGTGGAATGGTTCCTGCGAATTATGGCAACCCGTTTCCCGTCGATAACGATGACAAAGACGACATTTCGCGCCGTACAGACAGCATTCTGGGCGGGACTGGTGTCATGGTTAGCACCAGATCGAGCCTGTATAATTCCTTCGAGTTCACCGCCGGGACAGCTCCATCGAACTATGCAGCCAGCTTTGCGACGAGCTATGCCACGAGCCGTGCAACGAGCTATGCATCGAGCGATGCCACGAGCGATGCTGGCCAGGATCTACGGTACAGTGAGGATGAAAACCAGCTGAAGCACGGGGCCAGCACTGCGTCCGTGGAGTTTTAGGCTGCAGGTTGGTAGGAGCTCTGTTTAACGGCCTGGTATTGACAGTGCGCGTTGTGTCTGTTAGAAAGGCACTCACAAGCGCACTTCTATTGCGAGATAATAAAGTCGACATCCATGTCCATTGATTGCCAGCGGCGTCTCTCTCCCACATTCTCGAGCTTGGCGTCATCGAGTTCCATGTTCGTCCACTTCGACCATCTTCAATCCAACACGAGATCATAGCGATGGCTCAACTTTCACGCGCATAAAGAGAGAACGCAAGCTGCGAGCCAAAGCCTGCAGCGAAACGAAGCGCATACTTGTGGGCGTGAGCACCTCCCGACGCAAGACGAAGAGATGTGTTGCCCAAGTTTGGGTCGTGGGTTTCAAAATGCACCACAGGTGGAACACATCCGTGGCGTAAACCCTCGATGGCAGCCACGTCCTCAAACGCTACAGCCATGGGGTGTCCAGTAAATCCCTTCGTGTTTGCAATCATTAGCTGAGCAAGCAGCTTCGAGCCGAAAGCTGCGCGCAACGCTGTCACTTCCGTGTAAGCACACGAAGACGTCGCGGATGCGTTCGTGCATGTCTCATGGCTGTAGTAGACTCCGTTGCAAGCTATCTCCTCTCGCGTGATACCGAAATCGTTTTCTACGCGTTGCAAAAACCGCATGAGCTCTTGGCCAACGTGGGTCGGCTCCAGTGCAGCACCGTGATAGGCCGAGTTGCTGAACTGGGAGGCAACTAAATGCACAACCTTCTTGTTGGTAGATCCAGTCACTACGCGCTCTGCGAAAGCCACAGGAGACTCCAACACCAACCCGATCGCACCGCTGCCGACAATCATACCGCTACGCTTCGCATCAAATGGACGTGCTGCAGCACTGACCGTCGGGGCAATGCACGCAGCGCCAAGTGCCCGAAAGCCACCACCAATCAGCGGCATCAAAGTCTCCGAGCTGGCGGTGTCGCTGGATATCACAATTACCCGCTGACATTTACCGGACCGAATCCAATCTTGAGCCATGCCAACTGCTTGTGTTGTGCCTGCGCATGCCGCGTTGATTTGCGTGTTAGGTCCACGTGCTCCAATAAACTGTGCAAGCTGAGCATTTGCAAGCACCAGCAGTCGGAATAAAATCTTAGTATCCATTGCATAGGCCAACTCACCCTTGTTCTTGCTTTCTTCGTGGTAACGAGAGGTTTCTGACACCGCAGCATCCATCGCTGGAAATGATGTGGCGTATATCACACCCGTTGAGTCGCGCATATGCTCAGGCAAGTGCCAATTCGCATTTGATCCGTCCACAAGTCCAGCGCTGCGAACAGCCTCAAGGCCAGCAGCCACAGCCAACTGGGTGGGCTTATCCATCGAACGCGCGATCGTCGCGGCTATGCCATACTCTTTCTCGAGGTCCATGTCATTCGTAACCGCAGACACTTGAATACAATCCTCACGAGTAGAGACGGGTGAACGGGTCACGTTGCCGGTAGCTTTGTTTGTGCTGATTTGCACTATGTTTCGAGCCACCATTTTGTCCTTGTCGGCATCGATAAGCTCACGAATACAATTTTCGCCCCGCAAAAGCTTTTCAATCGATTTTTCGCCTTCAAACACCTTGGTTTGACCCGGCAGGCCGACACTAGTACCACTTACGTAAACAGCGCCAGCAGCTTCTAGCATTGTCTTGGTCATGAGACTTTGTTCCTGCGTATCTCCCGCAGACGTGACGTTCGGCTTTGAACGAGCGTAAAAGCGGCGACCCATGTTATCGATGCGGTCGAGGTAAAACTCACCTGCAGGAATGGAAGCAATCGACTGCGTGAGCTTCACATCGTGTTCCGCACCATATGTGACCTGACGCAACTTCATGCGCGCAGTGAACTCCTCCGGAGACTTTTTAGTACGACGCGCGAGACGCGCGATAAGGTCGAGGGACTCGGCGATCTTGCCCAGTGAGAACTTGCCCTTAGCTGATTCGGACGGCTCACGCGTGTGGAGCACAAACATAGAAGCAAGGCTTCCCGAGCCGTACGAAAACAAAAGCACCCGAGCACCAAGCGCCAGTTCCTTGGCCCGTGCGTGCACCAACGTTGCCAGGTTCATGTATACTGCTGCCGTGTAAGAGTTCCCAAGCTGCTGAGAAGTAGTGCAGCTCGGCGACACCTTGGCCTCAAAATCCTCACTCGCCACGTTGCGAGCAGCAAGATCCAGCTCTCGGTCATTTAGTGTATCGCAAAGCGGTGCGTTCGTCCACTTTGTCAGCGTAGCGTATTTTTCCTTTGCAGCCTCGTCACCACTGCTCAGTAGACGTCTCGAGTCGTGAAAAACCAGACGAGCAAATGACTTTTGCACCAACTTGTAGTACGGCGAGTGGAAGACCGCGTAGTCCATAGACGACATACCGACGACTTGTTTTTGATCAGTTGAAGCCAGCAACTTGCTCTTCTTGCAGAAAAGCTGGTAGCATTCATCAAGCGCATGCAGATAACACGCGTTCGACAGCTGGCCGTCCACTGTCGGGTACTCGCTGGTCATATTGGGCTTGTAAAAGTCCCACACGTTGGTCGCATGAGTAGCTTTGGTCCGGCAGTCCAATACCATTGGCGCGTCGGGTCCAATGAGCATCGCCACGGCACCACAGCCGCCACTGGGCCGTGCAGGTCCCTGGGCATACACGGCGATATCAGCGGCCACCACAATAGCATACCGTCCGTCCCAGAAGCTGCTGTCGATCCACGCCACGGCGTTCAGCAGCGCTGCCGTGCCGCCGTAACAGGCATTCACGACCGTCGCGCCCTCGACGTCTGCATTGGCTCCAAAGAGCTGCATCAGCACTGTCTTTGCCGACTTGCTCTTGTCCAGCAGCGTCTCAGTACCCACTTCGAGACGTCCGACCTGCTCAGGCGACACGTCATAGCGACTCAAGAGCCTCGAGACGGCCGTCAGCGCCAGCGCGTGCACGTCCTCGCGGTCGCCAGGCACCGCCATGCGCAGCTGTCCCAGTCCGAGCGTATACTTGCCGCGACTGACGCCGTCGTAGCGTTCCATGTCCTGCTGGTCCACGTAGTCGGACGGGAAGTGCACTTCCATGGCCAATATGCCCACATTCCGGGGACGCGAAGGAGGTGATGTCATTGTGTTGAGACGTCGGATCAAAGAGTAGGGTAAGAGTTGAGGCGCGATGGAGATATGTGCGGGTTGAGTGGGGGTTATGATTGCGTCGATATGATCGCAAGCTCTGTGGAGGCCATTTTGACGATGTCGACGTCTATTGCACGAGGCGAGTGGGTCTGAAGTCGACGAACAATGACGCGCCTATCTTTGAAAGGATAAAAAAGTAGGATTGGTGAGCAAGGTACATGCGCTTTGTTTAAAAATCGAGCTACACATATTGTGTCACGATAAAACATGTGTGAAATGTGAGCACACGTTTCTCCATCGGTCATATCGAATGGCATATCATTGATATGATGGTCAATTCAGAAATATCATAAGTGAGGCAATGTAGTATGCACATGAGCAAAGGTAACAACTACAGATGCTTCCATATGTACCGCCGCACTACAGATTCAAAGCACCGAATAAGTGGCAAAATACACATTACGTCTTTTCAGGATAATACATCTCGATCTGTATTGGAATGTAACAGGAGCATCAGGGCAATATATCGGATAAGTCCATCATATGACTTTGACACCGTATTCCTTAATTATAGAGTACGTCTTATCGATCATTTGATAGCGCAAAAAGAGCAAACTTTCGTGAGAAGGCACCATAAGAAGACCTGATATGTGTATATATGAACTATTTGGTCATGCCGCGAAGGGAGAGCGCATCTTACGTAAATGGTCACTCGGTTATATGGTCATTTTGGTCCGCTGCGTTTCAGATGACATTTGGCTACAAGTCCATTAATGTTCTATCCGCACGACCACCTATTCTGGCCACAAGTAAACATTCGTATTGCGGCACATTCGACTCAACTATGGAAAGAGACGTGCAATATCCAATTAGCATCATTCTCTTATGGATACTAATACGCTAACACATTTATGTATCATGTGAGTAGTAATCGAGTCCGATCTAAAAGGGAAGCTTTGCATATCTTGTGGTGTCAAGCCACAGACGGTATCAAAACGCAAATAACACCTTCTATCTTCCTTTTTTGTTCTGCATCATTGTCAACAATAGTCATGTACATTGGACCTTTCGTATATGATTGCAGACGTCTGTTCTGAGAGATGTATCGATAAGTATTACCGCATGAACTGAAGTATGTACCAACAAGAAGCGTATCTATTCCGACATGTCAGAGTGAAAGACGCCTGAAAAAAACTTTCCACCACGTTACCCATCAAAAATCGCATAATTCTAAAGCAGAAGACGCGAAAAGCACAATTATAGTGGTCACGATCGTAGCATATGTCCAGATAAACAATTGATTGTACGCTCCCGCTTACATGAGCGAATGCACTTCCGCAGAGGTGGTAGAAATATACGTACGATACATTCGTATTTGTCATTCCGTTCCCCCGGAAATGCACGCAAGAAAGAATTGTATCTTTCATTCGCTGAACCAAGATCACTCTTCGATCTGCTTTATTTGTTCATTTATTTACGGTACCGCTTTGAACACATCAGGTACAGACGCACTTAACTTATTGCATATTTTGCAGCCATCGTTGGCTGTAGCACACAACTATATCATCAGCCAGCTGTGCAAACGGCTTATGAGCTAAAACAAGATACGACATACCCAGAATATTGTGCTACTAATGCAATTTGAAATGGCGTAATGGAGTGTATAGATGATCTTTTGTTGCGTTTGGCATGTGGCGTGTTTGGAACCGAGTGTAGCTCAGTTGGTAGAGCGATTGACTGTAGTGTTGGATGCTGTGTATCAGTGTGCTCGGAAATCAATTGGTCGCTGGTTCGATTCCGGCCACTCGGACTTTTGCGGCATCTTTTACTTCGTTTGTCTTCGAAAGTGAACTGATGTCCTTTCCACGCATTGATTGTCGACGAAGATTGCAGATACTGCCAATTCAGCATCCTTGCGCTTTGACAGATTACAGCTTTCACACAAACACGGACACATGCACAATCACGCCTTCGACCTCATTCTTGTGATATCAGGGATACCCATAGACGGCTACAATATCTTTTGTGTCAGCTTATCGTGCCGTCGAAACGTGATTGCTGCGCATGTACATGTCATGACAAAGTCATTGAAGACGCAAAGCAAGTACTGTGATGCAAAAGTGTATCCAGTCTCCCTCGATACAGCAGCCCAGTCAGCCGGGAAGTTGCTTTGCATCTTCTCTCCATCGGTCGATGTCATACCGTGCCCATGCAACGATGATCTTCCAGCTAATCATACAGTATCACAGACAACCAGGACCGAGCAATGCCCAGTACTTTCTATGTGATGCATTCGGTCGTCGATAGAACGGGTCCATATGTAGCGTGAAATGAATTTGCGCACGCAAACAAGATGACGGGAAGGTGCAGCAGGAGTGTTCTGACGTGGTGTGCATCGGCGAAGCTGTGAGAGTGCGTGTCGGAGTGTGTGGATGTTTTTTTGTTGCGTTTGGCATGTGGCGTGTGTGAAACCGAGTGTAGCTCAGTTGGTAGAGCGATTGACTGTAGTGTTGGATGCTGTGTATCAGTGTGCTCGGAAATCAATTGGTCGCTGGTTCGATTCCGGCCACTCGGACTTTTGCGGCATCTTTTACTTCGTTTGTCTTCCAAAGTGAACTGGTGTCCTTTCCACGCATTGATTGTCGACGAAGATTGCAGATACTGCCAATTCAGCATCCTTGCGCTTTGACAGATTACAGCTTTCACACAAACACGGACACATGCACAATCTCGCCTTCGACCTCATTCTTGTGATATCAGGGATACCCATAGACGGCTACAATATCTTTCGTGCCAGCTTATCGTGCCGTCGAAACGTGATTGCTGCGCATGTACATGTCATGACAAAGTCATTGAAGACGCAAAGCAAGTACTGTGATGCAAAAGTGTATCCAGTCTCCCTCGATACAGCAGCCCAGTCAGCCGGGAAGTTGCTTTGCATCTTCTCTCCATCGGTCGATGTCATACCGTGCCCATGCAACGATGATCTTCCAGCTAATCATACAGTATCACAGACAACCAGGACCGAGCAATGCCCAGTACTTTCTATGTGATGCATTCGGTCGTCGATAGAACGGGTCCATATGTAGCGTGAAATGAATTTGCGCACGCAAACAAGATGACGGGAAGGTGCAGCAGGAGTGTTCTGACGTGGTGTGCATCGGCGAAGCTGTGAGAGTGCGTGTCGGAGTGTGTGGATGTTTTTTTGTTGCGTTTGGCATGTGGCGTGTGTGAAACCGAGTGTAGCTCAGTTGGTAGAGCGATTGACTGTAGTGTTGGATGCTGTGTATCAGTGTGCTCGGAAATCAATTGGTCGCTGGTTCGATTCCGGCCACTCGGACTTTTGCGGCATCTTTTACTTCGTTTGTCTTCCAAAGTGAACTGGTGTCCTTTCCACGCATTGATTGTCGACGAAGATTGCAGATACTGCCAATTCAGCATCCTTGCGCTTTGACAGATTACAGCTTTCACACAAACACGGACACATGCACAATCTCGCCTTCGACCTCATTCTTGTGATATCAGGGATACCCATAGACGGCTACAATATCTTTCGTGCCAGCTTATCGTGCCGTCGAAACGTGATTGCTGCGCATGTACATGTCATGACAAAGTCATTGAAGACGCAAAGCAAGTACTGTGATGCAAAAGTGTATCCAGTCTCCCTCGATACAGCAGCCCAGTCAGCCGGGAAGTTGCTTTGCATCTTCTCTCCATCGGTCGATGTCATACCGTGCCCATGCAACGATGATCTTCCAGCTAATCATACAGTATCACAGACAACCAGGACCGAGCAATGCCCAGTACTTTCTATGTGATGCATTCGGTCGTCGATAGAACGGGTCCATATGTAGCGTGAAATGAATTTGCGCACGCAAACAAGATGACGGGAAGGTGCAGCAGGAGTGTTCTGACGTGGTGTGCATCGGCGAAGCTGTGAGAGTGCGTGTCGGAGTGTGTGGATGTTTTTTTGTTGCGTTTGGCATGTGGCGTGTGTGAAACCGAGTGTAGCTCAGTTGGTAGAGCGATTGACTGTAGTGTTGGATGCTGTGTATCAGTGTGCTCGGAAATCAATTGGTCGCTGGTTCGATTCCGGCCACTCGGACTTTTGCGGCATCTTTTACTTCGTTTGTCTTCCAAAGTGAACTGGTGTCCTTTCCACGCATTGATTGTCGACGAAGATTGCAGATACTGCCAATTCAGCATCCTTGCGCTTTGACAGATTACAGCTTTCACACAAACACGGACACATGCACAATCTCGCCTTCGACCTCATTCTTGTGATATCAGGGATACCCATAGACGGCTACAATATCTTTTGTGCCAGCTTATCGTGCCGTCGAAACGTGATTGCTGCGCATGTACATGTCAGGACAAAGTCATTGAAGACGCAAAGCAAGTCCTGTGATGCAAAAGCGTATCCAGCCTCCCTCGATACAGCAGCCCAGTCAGCCGGGAAGTTGCTTTGCATCTTCTCTCCATCGGTCGATGTCATACCGTGCCCATGCAACGATGATCTTCCAGCTAATCATACAGTATCACAGACAACCAGGCCCGAGCAATGCCCAGTACTTTCTATGTGATGCATTCGGTCGTCGATAGAACGGGTCCATATGTAGCGTGAAATGAATTTGTGCACGCAAACAAGATGACGGGAAGGTGCAGCAGGAGTGTTCTGACGTGGTGTGCATCGGCGAAGCTGTGAGAGTGCGTGTCGGAGTGTGTAGATGTTTTTTTGTTGCGTTTGGCATGTGGCGTGTGTGAAACCGAGTGTAGCTCAGTTGGTAGAGCGATTGACTGTAGTGTTGGATGCTGTGTATCAGTGTGCTCGGAAATCAATTGGTCGCTGGTTCGATTCCGGCCACTCGGACTTTTGCGGCATCTTTTACTTCGTTTGTCTTCCAAAGTGAACTGGTGTCCTTTCCACGCATTGATTGTCGACGAAGATTGCAGATACTGCCAATTCAGCATCCTTGCGCTTTGACAGATTACAG